TTTTTTTTTTTTTTTTTTTTTTGCTTTCTTGTCTCTACCCAAAGAACTCCTTCTAAGCATGGATTTAATGATACACCCTCCATGAGTTTCAGAGCCCCCACGCTCACTCTGTGCCTCAGAGTGCTTTATTATATCCCCCTCTTATAGCGCTTAATCCAGTTTGGGTTTTTGTCACTGGAGCCTGTGTCTCCTTCAGTCTCTGTATGTGGACTGAAGCTTCCTAAACTTAGGACAATGTGGACCTTAAGTTGGAAAGATTAACTGTGGGAATCAATTCTCCCCGACAGCTTTCTGCTGATGAAGGTCTGCTGTGTGCCGCTTTCATGCAGGACCTTTTTCTAGGTGTGTCAGGCAGGGTGGGACTCAGTGTAATGCTGCGCTAACAACCTCCCCGGACTGGCATGGTTTGGCACACACAAGCCGTGCCTCGCTCATATGATACAAATGGGCCAGTGTGGACCTCCAGACCACCAGGGGCCCAAGGACACAGCGACAGAGAGCACAGTCTCAAGACTACTGTTGGTAGCTGGATCAGAGAGGGAAAGAGTCTGGATGAGGCAGGAGCTGACATGACCTCCACGTAAACAGCTTTCCCAGAGACGGGTGCTCTGGATGGAGCCACTGAACCTGAAATGCTTATTTTAAAGATGTTATTCAGTAAGCAGTATTTTTAAATACTGCATTTACATTCACATTCTAACATGCCAAAACGAAGTTTTAGAAATGAAATCAGTAAAGCTTGTTTATCCACAAGCCTGCTGTACCGGGGGAGACATCTCCTGCCATTTTGGCTTCTGCAGTTAGACCGTCGGGAAGGAGAGGAGATCTGTGGGATCAAAGGGGTGTTTCTTACTAGGGTGGGGCTTACTTTGAGTTTGACCTTGAAGTCTCCTTGGTGGTCTTTGATTTGAGGGAGCAGGTGAACAGTTTGGGGAGGTCTCCAGAGGGCAGGAAGCCACCCATGCCTGGTGATTTCCTAGGGCGGGCGGGGTATGCAGAATGCTCTTTATGGCTCAATGGAGGGCATGTTTGAGCTCTGACACCTTCACCCGTGAGTCTGCAGCGCTGAGCCTTCCATTCTCACCCCTCTTCCAAGTGAGGTCGGCCGGCCTGTGACCTCCCCTCCTGTCCTCATGCAGTGCCGCGGTGAGTTAGGCGACTCCCTCAGACTCCTCCGAGTCCAGACTTCCAGGAGGATCCTGGCCACTGACTGACCTGATTACGTCACACCTGTCAGCTGTGGACAGAGATGCTGTGGGCTGCGTTTCAGGGCGGCTCCGTCACGGCCTTCCAGATGGAGATATTCATGAATTAGGAAATTGCGCAATAACCTGCATTCTCTGTTCTCCGAGGCGACAGCTCGGGGGTCCCTCCCCGTCATCTGTGTCTGTGGTGGGTGGGGCGAGCCCTCCTCTTCTTGCCTCCCTGCCTCCCTGGAGTAAAAGCTTTCTCAGAGCGTGGGCGCATCCTGGCCTCCTGGCACTCAAGGCCACTGTGACCCTGCCACGCAGATGTGCAGCCAGCCGGAACCCTTTATTCAGAGGAGCTGCCCAGGCTCTGCTGCTGCCAGCCTCATCCACCCAGCTGCCCGTGGCCTTGTCACAGAGCTGAAATCTGTGCCCCGGGGCCACCTGGACCCCTCCCTGCATATGGCTTCTCCTCGTCAGCTCAGCCAGTGCTTCGGCAGTGTTTGTGGTGGGGCACAAAGAACTGTCACACTGTTCTCATGGAAAGTGTGCGAAGTGCATGCTGAGCAGTAGTAACTCGAGGGCCGGCATCTTGCTGATACCTATGTGTGATCCCCGAGCCCGGGACCTCCCCGTACCTCCACTGGCGAGTCCCCATTTGCCTGTCCAAGCGAGGCCTTTAAGCGAGGCATGGTGGGAGAATTCCCGGGATTAACAGCTCTCCCCGGGTGCTGGCGCTGTGCCGGGTTCTTGACACCCGCAGTGAGGCGTTTAATCACCAGAGTCCCTGGGCGTGAGCCATGGACACTGGGTCCAGCCCCACTTTGCAGATGAGGACCATGAGGCTTAGTGAGGTTAAAGAATTTCCTCGTGGGTGGAACAATGCCACATTCGGTGACGTTGTCAGAGTGGACGAGCAGGCAGGTTTTCTATTTTCATGTCTTTGTTATTATGGCTGTCATTTTTCATTGGGGAGAAAGCAGTGGATTTCACGCATCTTCATCTCAGCTCACCCGTGAAGCCTCCTCTTGATGCCGCAGTGCAGCCCCGGGCTGTCCTGTGTCCGACACCGGAAGTGCTGGGAAGGCAGAAGGAACCTGTTTTCACTCTCTTCTTGGAGTCAGTCTAGGTAGTCGCCATGTTTCCTGGTGGATGTGGTTTTACGCTGAACACTGTATCTGTGATCAGGAAAAAGTTGTTGGGTTTTTTCTGCTGCTGTTGTTAAGACAATCATTTCAGTGAGGGAAATGGAGCCTATTTCTTTCTGTGGATCCCAGGAGAAGCAGTGGGAAGGCGGCAGGCGCTTCTGTTCTCTCTGGTTGTCCATCTGTATAATGGGGACTCGTGGTGACCCTGAAGAGAGCGCTTGCTGAGCATTTGGAGAGTGCAGTGCAGATGGTGGACCAACTCGCTCACATATGGCCCTTTCCCGGAGCGTGGAGCTGGCCAGCCAGCTCCAGGGGGGGGGGCTGGCCAGCCAGCCCCCCGAGTCTCTGCAGGCACGGGCTTCGGAGAACATTTAGGAAGTGCTCCTAACCGTGCGCTGCCTCCCTCGCTCGGTAGGCACATACATTCAGTTTGCATCTTGATGAAGAAGTTTTTTTATTTATCCCTGTTTTCTTGGCATAATATTCTGAACAGCAGCAATGCAATCTGTTGTTTGTTTAGAAAAGATGGCAGAAGGGGTGGTGTGTGCTTGTGTGTGTGTTGTGGAGGGGACTCACACGAGATCTGTTCATAGTTCAGTGAAAATGAAATTCTGCAATCTAGGGTTCCCTGGGTTAGTGGTCATCATTTGGGAAGAGGCTGGGTCTTGGGATGAATTAGTTAAAGCTCTTATCCCATGGTGGGGATTGGCAGAGAGAACTCACTTCCTGCTCTCCCTCCTATGCGTGTGCACAAACACACACACACACACACACACACAGGCACACACACACACACTGCAGAAGGGGCTTCTTCTGGTGGTCTTCCCTCGGTAGGGTTCTTTTGGTTTTGGCTGCAGCAGCTCTATCTTCCCTTCCCCCTCTTTTCCACCTGTTCTTGTCTCGGAGGCCAAGCTTTCCTAGAGGAAGGGTCTGAGCCGGTGGAAGAATTGCCACAGCAACATGGCGGAGTCCTGTCCCCAAAGGTCCCGCCACGTCGGGCTTCTGATCTTGGCCCAAGTGCAGCAACATGAGGGTCTCCCCCCTCCTGCCACTCATCTCCCAGCTGTGACCTCGAGCCACCTCCCTCCCAGTGACCCTCTCCTGGCCTCGTGTTGGTTTATTTACATGCTTCAGACCTCAGTCAGCCTTTACCAAGCCCCCCAAACACCAAAGCCCCCTACTGTTCCAATTCAGAGCACCCAGACGAACTCTTCAGAACAAAACCACTCAGCAGAGTAAGGGGCGCCGGAGGGAGAGTGGCAGGTTCAGGGTCGCAGAGCACGCACCGATCTTTCAGGGCGGAGACTGGAGCTCGAATTTGTTTCATCCAAGCCACATGGCTGGAGTGTGGGGCTGAAAGCGGGACTGGATGGAGGCACGCTCAGGAACAGGAGGGGTCCTAAGGATGTGACATGACAATGAAGAGCCAGCTGCACAGGATGACCTGGCTTCCCAGAAAGCTCCAAACTTGGCTAAAGTTATGCAACACTCTAAGCACATCTGTATTGTGGTTTTTAAAAGTGTGTGTGTTTGTGTGTATCCAAAACATCTGGCTGTCTGGAAGATAAGGATGGCACAGGGAGTGGGGGTCAGTTACACCACGTGGAGGCCTTGTTCTGGGTGACGGAGCGTGTGGATATTCGTTACTGTATTTCAATGACATGGTTACCGCCAGCAGGGTGGTGGTACTGGCACAGTGGTACTGGTGGGGTCTCCAGCACAGCTACTGTGGTGCTGGTGCTGTGTCTTTGAGGCCCACAAAACCAGACTCCAGATGAAACATACCTCACCGTGGCTCCCGATGCCCACTACCCACACCTTGGTCGGCACCTTGGCGACCTTGGGAATGAACGGTCTGCACTCAGCTGGCAGCAGCCCAGTCAGGAAGCAGAACCCAGAGCTGGCCTGGCTGCGGCAGCCCCGTGCAGGCCACGGGCCGCAGGCACCAGTGGTGCACGGCACTGAGTTGCCACAGGACAGACTGGGCACTTCAGGCAAACTACCCCAGAGTGCAGTTGCTGGTGGGACTGCCCTGGGCTTACCTGTCTGAAGAGGACCGTGAAGGCCTGAAGAAAGACCCGCACCTGTGGAGTTGGTGTCTGCCTCCTCTTCCAAAGGCGAGCCACTGTCTTCCTGGGGAGGTGCGCAGCATGATAGTGTGTGTCATGTTAAATAAATCGCGGGGATCATGTGCTCATTGTCTTTTCAGTCAAACTCCATACTGGGAAACGATCCTTCTGAAAATGATCTAAATGCCTTAAAACATTTCATCCAAGTTCTACACCCTCCTTGGAAGCTCCTGAGAGCATCGGGGACTTGCAGAGACCCGATTTTTCGAGGGCTTTTGTTTTTGCTCTTGGGAGACAAAGTATTGCTCATTCTGGTGCCTCAGTTGTAGTGACCGATGGAGCATGCAAAATTACAGAAAAGGAGAAGAAAAGAGTAAAGATGAAAGAACACGGCTGTGGTGGTCTTGCCTCACAACCCTCAGCGGAAGTTCCTTCCTGAGATATTACTAAGATCCCGATTTTCAGACTAAAACAATCCGCATCAAGAAGTCTGCGTGGTCCTGCTGAGTTAGCACGTGAATGAAGGATATGGACCCTGTCTTTGATCCTGCCGAGCTCACACAGGGAGCCCAGACCACTGTGGGCTTTTAAGTACTTATGTGAAGTTTCAAGGCCTGAGGCATTTCACTGCATCCTCTCAGCTTGGGGATTCAGGTGCCTTTCACGCCCTGAGAGAGTATGACTTGCTGATCCGGTGCTGATTCTCTGTTTGCCCTTAGACGATGAAGATGACAGGGGGTGAGTTATTGAAGCCCCCTCTGCCCCAGGGGCAGGGCTGTACTTAGGCTCAGCAAGGGGACTTTCCCTGCCAGGGAGGTTGGCACAGCTCCGCTCAGGCAGCTCCCCGTGTACTAAGTACTGTGTCAAGTGCTTTCTGTGCATTATCTCATTTAATCTTTGCCAAGACTCAGGAGATAGTTACCATGATGCTCTTTTTCACTGTCACAACATTAGAAGAGCCTGGCCCGGAGGCCGAGAGCCATATGTGGTCGGTAATCTCAGGCCAAGTGAGGCCTCAATAGATGACGGAACCATCAAGGTCCCCTCGGGAGCAAACAGATCCCTCTGAAATGGCCTTGTGTCCCTCCTAGACCAAAAATTGCTATTCAAGAGGCTTCCACTAATCTCTTTCTGAAATTTCCAGTATTGGTCCTTTCAACCTTTGAATAACATCACAATTTTTGAAAATTTGCTCTCGCTAAGGGAAATAAAATTAATTTTTCAAAATACACTGTTATTTCATACTTGAAAGTAGTTTGATAGACATTTGATAGACTGCTTCATGCTTCATTGGTTGACAACTGTGTGTTGAGGAGCCCTGAAGAGGAGAGAGGCACCATCTTCCCGGGAAGAGTCAGTTTCTGTAACTGCACTGCATTAAATGTTTTCTGATGTTGAAACAGCAGTTTCATGGTTCTTCTCCAGTATTTTAGTATTACTCAGACCTCTTCCTAAGAATAAATGTGAATCTCCTACGACAGGCTGAGAAGATGGCTAGTAAAACACAGCTGTGGGTCTCAACGACGCTTTTGGTAAAACTTGCTTTTTAAATCATGATTGGGCTTCCTGACACGTTTAAAGGTAAGTTCTTCCAGAGGGAAACAATGGCAAAATCTGAAGTATTTTGAAGTGAGAGTATTAGAGAAGTTGGCAGTTTTGGGGCCTCAGGACCTTGCCAGATTCCAGATATTGGCCAGAAAAGTTGGGGGCAGCATTTGCTCTTCCTGTAGACAGCCGAGGAGGTGTCCTTTTGCCTGAACCCGACCGTCTTCCTCTTCTCCTCATTTCCCTTTCACCTCAGGCGGACTCAAAGCCTGTCCCTTCCTTTTGGTGGGTCTGTGACAGTGCTTAAACCCAGAGAAACTCTGCTGCCTGTCTCTCGGCTTCCTTTCGGACTCCAGCTGGGTCTCACCCTGGGTACCTGCGCTGTAATGTGGGCTTTGCTTTCTCACACGTGGCCGTACACCCAAGTTCAAGTTCAGGAGGAGACACACTTCCTGGTCATTGGAAAGCATTTTATAAACCAGAGCACACCAAAAGGTGCCACACAAACACACGGGTAACTTTTTTATTCAACATCTGGGTTTTCTGTATCCTCTTTTCTATCTTTACTTTTTCTCTATCAGTATGTGTTCATAATACAAAATGCCCATATTTGTCATAGGGAGTAGGCCCCTGTGACTAACATCTAGAATTTATAAAGAACTCAAAAAAATCAGACCCCCCCAATAAAAGACTGAATCAAAAGTGGGCAACTGAAATGAACAGACACTTCTCAGAAGACATACCGATGACCAATAAATACACGAAGAACGCTCAACATCTCTCTGGCCATTAGAAAAGTGCAAATTAAAGCAACACTGAGATTCCATCGTGCTCAAGAAAGAAGGGCCATCATCAAGGAATCAAATAATAACAAATTCTAGGGAGGGTGTTAGGAAAAAGGAAGCTATGTTATTCACAGGTCTGTAAACTAGTACAACCAGTATAGAAACTTGTATGGCGATTCCTCAAAATACCAAAATTAGAAACACTATTTGACCCAGCTCTTCCCTTTCCTGGCACCTTCTTGACAGAGTTAAAATAGCCTCATACAGTAAACCATGTGCAACCTTGTTTACCATAGCACAATTCACCATGGCTAAATCTTAGAAATAAATGGCCTATATATCCAACAGTAGAGGAACAGATAAAGAAAGTGTGGTATTTACACATGATGGAGCACCACACTGCCACTCAGAAGGGTGAACCCGAGTCATCTGTAGGAAAACGGATGCACCATAGAATCACAATGTTAAGTGAAATAAATCAAATCAATATCACGTGGTTTTTCTTATTTGAGAAACCCCAAATCTAAGTAATTCTTTAAAAAAAGCAGACAAAATCTCTCAGCTCTGGTCTTGAAGCAGGGCTCATCTGTGGATGGAGGACAAGGAGACGTCAGGACGCTGGGCTCAGGCCTGTGGCATCTCACCCACTCCTCCTCCTCCTCCCTCCCTTCCTTCTCCTGGACCCACTCTCCCAGGCAGCTGGCTCTCTTCTCCTGCGCCAGTCTCACGCTGTGGGACGTTGTGGACGGATGCGGCTCCCGAAACGTATGCCCTCAGAGCTGGCCTGCAGCAGATGGTCACAGGGCGCATTCGGGGCACACAGCCCCGCACGCTGACATGCCTGCGCCTAGGTCACTGAAGCCCACTGGGTGGGCGTGCCCCTTGCGTCACCACGTATGACCTCCCGTACTCTCTCCTCTCAGTCCCCACGTTGTCGGCTGCCACTTCTTGCCCGGCCACAGGCTTCTAGCTACTCCCTTCCCTACAGGGGCTGCCCGTGGGGTTCTGCAGGGACCTGGCATCACCCTGCCCAGGACACGGAGCAGGTGTTGCCCCCGACCAGAGACAGATGCAAGGGCAGGTGCCATGGCAGCCTGCGGGTCAGATGTAAGCTTTGTTGCATAGGGTTCACAAGAAGGACTGAGCTGAGATGAAGGCAAGCCTGGAGCTGGGCATGGGGTTCTGGGGTGCTCGGGTACCCATGGCCTGAGGTCCTGGGCCCTCTCTGGCTTTCCTCAGACTCCACCCTTCCCCAGGCTCAGCCTCCCCTTTCCAGGAGGGTGGAGCAGGCTCTGTGTGGGCCTCTGCTGTCTTACCACTTTCATGGCAGTCACCACCATCAATTCATTCTCGTCATTGATTAAGACTGACTTAGGTGTTCGGTTTAGCATGGACTCTTGCACTGAACTTGGTTTTTAAAATATCGCCTTACAATTCGTCTCTGGACTGCTGAATTTCTGGCACAGCTTGTATTTCATGCCTGGGTGACCACGTGACCCCAGTTCCAGGCCGGCCTCAGATGGGGACCAGCCTGGCCCTCACTCAGGACACTGCCATCACATCACCCACGGACCGTGTTTGTACTTTAGAAGCCGGCGGCCTGACACGATCTTTAAACAGCACGGAAATGGGAGCCATCCATCCTCCTCCGGCGAATTGCAGCCTTTTGGAGGGACTCCAGCCCGTCTGTGCTCCTGAGCTCTGGGGAGCGGGCAGTGGCCGCTTACACTGTGTTCGGGGCCCTCCCTCCGGGGTCACGTCTGTGGCCTGCAGGGTGGCCTCAGGGTGGCTCGGGACCCTGCGCTCAGCCTGTGGCACAGACACGGGAGTCCAGGACTTTGGTTTCAAAGGAAAGGAGCCCTGGCGGTAGACATGAGTCACAGCACGGCTCTGCGCGGGTGTCAGCCTGGACTTTGGCCAGCAAGCCCCTGTGAAGCGGCTTTGTTCTCCGAGGAGACACGGGCCTGTGATCAAACCGGGCCACCGCTCCCGCTCCTCCCTCCCGCTAACGGTTGCCTCCCGCTAACTAACTCACATCTGCGGTGGCAGCACAGCGAAGGACGGAGGACAGCAACGTCCGTTGACACGGAAACGGGGGCTCCCAAGAAGGAATAAAGGAAGCGCCCGGGAAATAAAAGACTCGGAGTTAAAGAACAAGGCGCAGAGCTCTCTACACTGAGCCCAGCGAGGGGAAACCGCCGAAACGAAGGCCGCACGCGCCAGACAACAGGAGCGGCTCACCGGAGGCTAATGCTTCTGACGTAGCTGGCTCTGTGGATAAATGAGAAGGGCTGGTCAGACCCCGGGGCCTCGTACAACTCCTGGGGCGCGACCTTCTCAGTGCTGGGGACACCGGGTACCAGCGCCTGGGTGAGGACGGCCCAGCCGGAGGCCTGGAAGGAGCTCAGTACGCTGTTCAGTGTCCATCAATCCCGAAAGTGTCTGGCCGGTGTGCTCAAGTCAGATCCTGCCGAAATACAAACGGAGAGGGATGTGTGCCTGGCTAGGGAAGGGCTCGCAGCTCCAGCCGGCGGCCTTCCTCCTGCCCGGAGCTGGCGTGAACTGCAGCACGCTTTTCGTTCCCTAAGCCTTCATTGTGTGTGGGTGAGGGTAACTGAGGATTGAACCCAAGGCCTTTGCAAGGAGCTACATCCCCAGCCCGCCCTGCCCCTTTACACAGGTTTTGGAGACAGGGTCTGGCCAAGTAGTTCAGCTGCCCAGGCTGGGCTTGGTTTGTGGCTCTCCAGCCGTGGCCTCGCAGAGTGCTGAGGTTACAGGTGTGGCCACCTTGTCCTGCTTCTTCTCTAAGACTCACAGGACTAACGTGGAGAGGAAGCGACCTTCTGTGTCCCAGCTCCCTTGCTCTGCTCTTTCCCGCTTCTGCTGTGGGCTGAGCCGGGCCCACACGGATGCCTGTCTGTCCTCTCGTCTTTGCCTGTGGGCCTCCTCTCTGATGCCCCTGCAGTGTGTGATCTGAGCCCGTTTTCCCTTGGCCCAGCCTGGCTCTACGCCGTCTGCCGTCCGTGTACTTTTCCACAGTGCCCTGCACCGATGACGGCACCGTGTCCTTCGTAGGTAGGACTGCACTCCTGTGGAGCAGGAATCTGCGTGGGTGGGGTTCTTGGCTGCGTCTCACTTCCTCCTCCATGTTCAGAAGCTTCTCCTAGCCCAGGTTCTGGTCCTGCCTGCTGGTGGATGTGACCCTAGTACCTATCAGGCCCGCGGACACCAGCACTTGCAGGGTGGAGACCGGGCTGGGCCAGGCACACTGGGTCCCCACCTTTGTGATCTAGAGGACTCCTCCTGGGGATGAGCCCTTCATTGCTGTCCACAGAGCTCAGAGGTCAACACTGAGAGCCTGTGCGGTCACTGCAGGAGGACAGGAACACAGAGCTCTGCAGCAGTGACCATGTGCTGGCCTTGGATGCCAGGCTCACCCTCTCCCTCTGTGAGGTCCCTCAGGGCCATGGGCCTCACGTTTCTCCTCCAAGCCAGTGTTGCATGAGCTGCGGCAATGAGGCGGGATCTAGGTCCAGGGATTCCCACTGTAGTTGTGCACTCAGGCTTTGTGGTGCTGCGCGCACCTCCTCTCCCTCCCCTGGGCCAGACATGGGGCTAGCTTCACCCTGTGGGTGTCAGCATGACGTGGGCTGGGCACTGTGTGTGCGCGCGCGTGTGTGAGTGTGTGTGCATGTGTGAACGCTCATGTGAATCTATACCATTTCGAGGACACCAGTCCTGGATAACGAGCTTCACCTGCTCAGCACGATCCCGTCTGAACTAATTGTGGGACAAAGATACGGCTGTGCCAAGGAGGATCGCCTTCTTGGGTGGAGGGTGCCGTGTACAGAGTTTTAGGAGGACATAATTCAACCCACCGGCCCCAGCGCCGTTCCTTCCACGGCCAACGCATACTGCTGCACATGGAAGACTGGACCCTCACTGCCGGTGGTGAGGGACTCCTCACCAGGTCCTGCTCCTCCTCCTCTTCCTCCCCCTCCTCCTCTTCCTTTTCTTCCTCCCTCATCCTTGCCCCCCCCGTCCCTCTCCCTCCCTCCTGCTCTTCTCCTTCCTGACCCCACCCGTTTCCTGTTTCTCTTTCCTATCACCAGGACTCTCCAGCTGTACTGTGATTTATTGTTTGCACAGCACGGTTTGAAACACTTACATTATATCATCTGGTCTTCACCAAAACCCAGGGCCTAGGTAGGTGGGTATTTTAGCTCCATGTAACAGGAAAGGAAGCCGAGGTTCGTGCTGGTTAACCTGGGTCTCCAGCCCTGGTCCAAAGTTGGTTCTATTTATCACAGATTTTGTTGCAAAAGGTTCTGCCCATATAGGTCCAGGAACGCTAGGTCGCTTTACACACAGACAGGCATTCACAGAGTCACGCTGAGTGAGGTGCTCTCAATTCTATCTCCTCTTCCCACAGGAACGTCTACAGAAAGTGCTACTAAGAGACTGTAACAGGAGTTGATACTTCTTCCAGAGGTTTAACCAAAGGGTTAAAAAAGTGAAAAGACTTTTCTGAGCAAGGGAAGAAACCTTTCCCAGTAAATCTGATGATATGCCTGTAATTAAGTCAAATAGGTTAAAGGCTTGTTATGCTAGCATTAACACGTAATTCATCCATTGAATTACAATGAGATTCATGTAAGGATTACACGTAAAATTCCATGTAATGAGATGTATTCATCATCAAAAGCTTTTTGCCCTTTAAGAAAATGTTACAATAATTATCCCATGAACGTGAAAAGTCAATAGAGGTGAAAATTCATGTCTTTTTATACCATCATTGTGATTGTATTTATATTGGCAAGGCCTAACCCTGATGACATTTAACTTTCCAGGGAGAGGACCTGGACTGCTCTCTCTCCTCCTCTCTCGCCCTTTCCGCTGGGGCCGTCCACATGGTGCCCTTTGGCCTCATCCTCTCCTCTACCAGTGAGACGGAAATGAGGATCTTGTTTCTCAACTTGCAAAACAGATAAGTTAGAAGGCGATTACTTACTTGGCAAAGGGACTCACGAGGGACTTCCTTTTAAAAACGCTCTTCCTTTTTTAATTACAATTTTTCTGAAAGTCAGCACTATTTAGAATTGCAGCTTTAAAGATTATGCTGTGTTTTGTGCAGATTAATCCTAAATTTGTATGAACACATGTATTCTAGACTTTCCCGTGAAACACATTATAGCCCTCTGAGGAACCGTATATACAATTCAGTGATACACAAGTAGAGGTGCGTGGGGAAAGCTGCCAGACAGGTAACCATTTAGAGTGCTGGGCTGCACACACATAATTTTATAATCTAGAAATAGTTCTTTCTGGAGATTCCAGAACTACTAAAAAGGAGATGCCTGTGTGATATCAGATGATAACTTCTTTGAATATATATATCCAGATCCATACACATTGCCTTTTAAAATATTCTACTTTGGTGTTTCAGCCAAGAAAAAAAAAATGAAAATAGCAAGAGGTGCTCCTGGTTATGTTAAACTCAATATTCTAAAGGCAGGTTTAATAACATTTAGGTAGATGTTTGGTTTTTCAGTACTGGACTCTTATTTCCTAACTTCAGCCCCCACATGCAGAGGATTTGCCCAGGTGAGGCCATTCAAGTGTTCTGGGGACAAACAGAGAGGTAGCCAAGGTTACTTTATTTTTCTTGTGAATGACTGTAGGCAAAAATCTGTCTGTTTAAGTGAAAAAGTGTCAAGCAATTTTGCATAAATATGTAAAATATTTCACAGCAGGAAAACAGCAATGAGAAAGACATTAAAGGAAAAGAAGTAGCCATGCCGCGTTTAGGACATTGAGCATGGCATTTGATAGTTGCTTCAGTCATAAACTATCCGGTACCTGTGGTTGTGTGGTGGCCTTGGAAAATCCCCACCACTCACAGGCGCTTGTTTTCGGGTGTGCCTGACAGAGATGGTTCCACCAGAGGTGGGGATCTAATTTGATGGGTGTCTTTCCCGTGTGTGCCGTTGAGGTCTGCATTTTGTGTGGGTCAGCGGTACCTTCTACAGAGACTATATTGTCAGAAGTAAATTCCTGCCCTCTTTCTCACAGTCTAGCTGCTTTTATGCAAAAGACACCATCTTTGTAACACCTTTCTTCTCCACACTTGGAACGTGATGTCCCACAGAATCAAAGCGGCCATCGTTGGACACTGAGGACGGAGGAGAGCCGGCTGCCTTTCCTGGTATCCTGGAAGTTGGGGAGAAGCCGTATAGTCATCAGTGTGCCCATGAATAAATTAGTGGGTGCAATCACCCACAGATTTCTGGGCCTCGCCACCTCCGTACTTTCCAGTGGAGCTGATTTTCTTTCAAAACAGTCCTCCTTGTAGGAGAGAAGGAGAAAATTCTATTTTTTTAAATGAAAATTTAGTTCGCAGTTTACCTCTTTCTCCATCACTACTTAGTCAACATCCACTCATGTGCCCATCGACATTTCATTTATTTATTCATTTGGCACATATTTATTTTTATCATCATATGCTCTACATTTGTTTGGGGTCAGCAAGAAATAGAAAGAATAAAGATGAATAATAGGCCTTGGTCTCATTTTGGCTACAATATCAGCAGATGCAATAAACTTGACAGTTACATTATGATAGTGTGAGGCACAAGTGGGATGCAACCTGTAACAGAGGTTCACAGGAATGGCTCGGAGTTGTGGAGGGAACGGCAGTTTGGATCTAGTTTCTAGGGAAATATTTAGTGAGAACACAGAATGTGAATCAGAATTGTTGGATTTCTGTGAGTAGGCAAGAAAGGTGTTTTCCAGCAGAACATGAGGTGAGCGCACCAAGTGCACTCTGAGGCCGCAGCTCGCTCTGAGGTGTGAGGCACTGACGTGCTGGTGCCTGGTCCTGCCCGGGAGCAGGCGCGTGGGAGGGGTGCTCACCACAATTGTTTTCGCCAAAGGCATTTTCGAAGCCATCCTGCAGATGGACTCATTCCTGGGACCCTGCAGTGTGCGATGAAAGTAGATGTGAACAGGGTAGAAACACCCACAGCTCAGCTGCTGAATTCCCCTAGGTGCTCAGGGCTGGGAGCAGGGCTGTGGTGAAAACTCAGAGCTAATGAGGCCGGCATCTGGAACCTGGGCCAAAGCAGTACAATTATCATCAGTCAGGTCAGGGCAATAGCAGGGGCGCTGCGGCTGAGGGAGGTGGGTGGGTTTGAGAGTTTGTTAACCTGTGTGTTCATTTGGAAGCCTTTCTGGAGGCACCTGTGAGACAGGCAACTTTAAAGGATTAAAGGTTAAAATGGGTCAGGGAACACAGGTACACATGGTACCTTTAGAGCTCTAATGACATACCAAAACAGTTCTAAAAATATAATATTGAACTATCTTGTCAAACTCTGTTGCAAGATTATATCCTTTTTTTTTTTTTTCCTCTGTGACAGCTGTGCAGCCAGGTGGGGTCTTGATTTTTAACATCTGTTACAAGATCGCAGAGGAAGTTCCCAGTCATCTTCACCAAGTTTCCTTAATGTTGGTATCTTATGAATCATGAGTCTGCGTCCTGTCTTGGGGTTCCCTGACAACCTGGTTAAATTTTTTGAAAAATTTATATATAGCCAAGTTCATTCTTTCTGGTATGTATTCTATCGGCTTTGACAAAGGCACTCACTTGGCCCACAGTGCTGTTTAGGATGGCTCCTGGCCTCCTCAATTTCTTTATGTCAGCTGTGGTAGCCAGCTCGCCCCCATCGACTTTGCAGATCTGATTTCTGTTGCGGTAGCTTTGCTTTTTGGTATAGTCATAGGAATGCATTGTGCACTACAGAGCCTTTTGAAATAAAAAGAAGTGAACTATTGATCTAGGCAGAAATACAGATGAATCTCAAATGCATTCCCTTCTTTTTATTTCTGAATAGGAAAACTACAATTTGTTTATTCCACTAAAGGGCATCTGGGCTGTTTCCCAGTACTCACATGGGTGCTCAGTTTTCAGGCAGGCTGTGTATACCCTGGAGGGAGACTGCTGGCTGTGTCCGCACACTCCAGCGCCAGCTGCACTGTGGTTTGATGGGAGTCAGTGGCAGTCCACTGTGGTTAGATTTTGCACTCATCTAAAGGTTGCTGACATTATCTTTTCATGTACGTATATTTGTCCTTTGTGTCTCTTACTATGCAGTATATGGTCATATGATTTTCTATATTATAAAAATTTGAGTTGTATTTTCTTGCTATTGGACTGTGAGTCTTCTTTGTGTATTCTGGATACAAATCTTTAGCGAAATATATTTTTGCAAATATTCTACTCTTTGGCTTTTAAAAAGCTTTTCTTAAGAGTCTCCAAACAGAAATTGTTTTAACATTTTATAATGTTTTATTAGTTTTAAAAATTTTCTATAGCTCGTGTTTTGATGCTGTCTCAAAAAGATTTTTTTTTTTTTTTTACTAATATCAGGATCATGTGGATCTGTGTTTTTTCCCTAGATATCTGAGAAAAAACATCAGTCTCCAAAACTACCTACCGATGTTAAATGCATATTCAAGTAACAACTTCTTAGTGGCTGAAGGAAAAAAGTGTATATTTGAGAGGTGAAGTAAACAAATGCATGATTTGTTTGGTGACATTAATGTGTTTCTCAGGGATCCAGAAAGCAAGTCTGCAGTTGTGATGGTTTATCTTGATTTTCCTCCTGATTGGGTTGATAAGTGTCTAAGAAAGTTGTAAGTCCCGCTCCTGGGGGTGTCCTGGGGGTGTTTCCAGAAATGACTGGCATGTGCCACAGCAAACTGAGGGAGGAGGAGACCTACCCTGCACGTGGACAGCACCTTCCGTAGGCTTGGGCAGGACAGAGTACACAAGGAGGAAGCAGGAAGCTGTCAGCGCTTGCTCTGTCTGACTCCCTCTGCTTCCTGGCGGCCATGAGGCGAGCAGCTTCCTCCACCACGCCCTTCATATTGTTTCTGCCTCACCACAGACTTAAAAGCAATGGAGCTGGTTGACCATGGACTGAAAACTCTGAAACTCTGAGTCAAATAAACCTTTCCTTCTTTACCTCATTTCTCTCAGGTGTTTCATCACAGCGATGGAAATCTTACTAATAGCAGGAAATAAGGAAGACTATAGATGACCCAAACAGCACGATCAACCCATGTGCCTTGATATTCATTTCTTGAGCGCTACATCCAACAGCAGCAGCAGATGCATTCTTCTCAAATGGATATAAATATTTTTATCAAGATAGATAATATTCTGGGCCGTAACACAGCTTTATACGACTTAAAAGAATTGCAATCGTAACTGTATATTCTTAGACCTACTGGAATTAAACTGGCAACTGAAGACATAAACTTACTTGGAAATATCCAAATATTTGGAACGTAAACCACATATTGCTAAGTACAGCATGAGTTAAAGATCCTAGCACTCTGGGAGGCTCAGATAGAAGGATGACAAGTTTGAGCTCAACCTGGGCAACTTAGCAACACCCTGTCTCTAAATTTCAAAGAGGGTCTTTACCAAGCCCTTAAGTTCAATCCTCAGAAACGGAAAAAAGTCTCTAGGAAAGTTAAAAACATATTCTCAACTGAAATGAGGACGACACTGAACAAATAGAAAGTAACTGTTGGATACTCCTCCCTGGTATTTGTACCCATTCCCACTTCTTATCTCTTATTGTTTTAGTTTGGGTAAGGTTATGCATTCTCTCCTTGGTTGTTTTATTACTTGTCAGACCACTGAAGGTTTTCTTCAGCTTTGTCACTGCACTTTGCACTCCTAGCATTTCTGTTTGAGTCTTTCTTATACTTCTTATAGTTCTGCTCAAGCTACCCATCTGACCTTGCGTGTCATCCACCTTTTCCGCTAGATTCCTCAACATTTTAATCATAGACATCATAGATCACCTTGCAGATGGTTTGCCATGTATGTCATAGTTTAGTTTAGATGTTATTTTGTCTCATCAAGGACTCTATCTTTAAACCTTTTATGCTTTGTCATTTTCTGTTGAGAGCCAGTCATCTCATGCTGTAGTAGAGACTAAAATAAACAGTTTTTATGCATTGGGATCAATACTGTTTACATCTGCTTGACTATTGGTGTTGAGTGAGGTTTATTTTTGTTTTTGTTTTTGTTTTGTTTTTGGTGCCAGGGATAGAACTTGGATCCTTGCGCTTGCAAGGCAGGAGATGGAATCACTGAGTTAACTCCCCGGCCCAAGTGAAAGTTGTCATCTAATCAGGAGTTGGACTTTACCAACTCTCTATGTTCTTGAGATGAAACGGCTGTCTCCATTTCTCTCTCTGGAAGATATTTAAAATCTGAGGTCCACTGATTTTCATGAAATCTTTGCAGCTCTTGAAACATAGTGCATATTTTTGTGTGAGTATGGGCAAATTAAGTTCTCTGGTATTCATAAGTTCTTCAAAGTGGCCTATGAGTTTAA